GGGCCCCCCGAAGGTGGGGGGTCCCTGGGGGCCCCCCGAAGGTGGGGGGTCCCTGGGGGCCTCCCTAAAGTGGGGTGCCCCTGGGGGCCTCCCTAAAGTGGGGGGCCCCTGGGGGCCTCCCTAAAGTGGGGGGCCCCTGGGGGCCCCCCTAGGGTTGGGGTTCCCTGGGGGCCCCCCCAAGGCGGGGGGCCCCTGGGGGCCCTTTCGAACGCCTAACGGCGCCCAAAGTGAACATTTGGATGAGCGGAGAGAAAGCGAAGAAAAGATAAGAGGGGAACAGCCGTCATTAAGACAGCAGAACGAAGATGCTAGTATAAAAAAGAAGCTGGTGACCCTACAGGGCTGCTGCTGTGCTGCTGCTGCAGTGTTGCTGCTGCAGTGTTGCTGCTGCAGTGTTGCTGCTGCAGTGTTGCTGCTGCAGTGTTGCTGCTCCCGTGTTGCTGCTGCAGTGTTGCTGCTGCAGTGTTGCTGCTCCCGTGTTGCTGCGGTGCTGCATTGCTGCTTCATTGCTGCAGTGTTGCTGCAGTGTTGCTGCGTTGCTGCTGTAGGGATATGAGTGTTGCTGCTGCAGTGCTGCTGGCGTTCTGCTGTTTGCTGCAGCTGCGCTGCTGCAGTGTTGGTGCTCGGAGGCGCCTAAGCCTGCAGCATTTTGCTGCGATTGCTTGGGGGCCCCCTGGGGGCCCCCGGGGGGGCCCCTGATTGATATTTAGTTTTAACTTTCTTCATGTTCTGGGTTGATAGCTTCTGCTTGTATTTGTGCTGCTAATCCCTCGTCTATCTGCTGCGTCGCTGCAGGAGACCCTTGAATGCCCTGCTGCTGCTGCTGCTGCTCCTCCTCCTCCTGCTGCTGTTCGTCAGCATCATCATCAGCAGCAGCAGCAGGGATTGCTGGTGCTTTTGTTTCTCTTGCATCCAGTTTGCTGCTGATTAGTTTATATAAAGATAATAAAGCTCCAGCAAGAGATATATAAATAGATAAAAATATAAACACGAAGAGCCCTGTTGCTGCTGGTGAAGGCAGCAAAACAGATAAAAATTGAGGGGGTAGAGGGGCCCGGCCAGGGAAGTCGCTGCGATATTGCTGCTGCATTTGCTGCGCTGCTTTATCAAAATAGACGCGAAATATAATCTCCATGATGCCGACAGACAGCAGCAGCAGCAGCAGCCCCAGCCGCATCTGTTTCTCTAGCCGCTGCTGCTGGTGCACTTGTCTCTCTTCTGGGGTCATGAAGTATGTCCCTAGTACAGCAGCAAATGCTTCTTTATCCTGCTTCATCAGCTCTTCATCATCTACTTCTTCTGCAGCAATATCGAGGGGCCCCTCTACATTAAAGGGGCCCCCATCCTCATCTTCTAAGAAAGACATTTCTGCTGTTGGCTCTCCTAAGCCATAGTTAGTGTCGCCTATAGGCATTTCACTTGGGGAGTTCCAGGGAGCTGCTGCTGCTGCTGCTGCTGCTGCTGCTGTTGTAGAAGCCAAAGCAGCAGCAGCTGCTGCTGCTGCGGAAGCTGCTGCTGCTAGACAGAAGTAAGAAGAACCAACTGAAGCAAACGCCAAGGCGCTGCACACCGCTAAGCAACAAAAACTATGAAACCCCCTCATTATCGTCTGCTGCTGCGTCTCCTTAGGCTCTAGAAACCCTTTAAATGCTGCTGCAGCAACTGCAGCAGCAGCAGCAGTAATAATAATAATAGCCCGTAGAACCAAGCAATAACGCAGCCAACACAATCGAATGCGCAGCAAATACACAGAGAGAAGCAGCAGCAGCAGCAGCAGCAGCAAATTAAACAACAAAAATCTAAAACACCTCCCGTGCTGCTGTGGATCCTGCTCCTCCTCCCTGTCCTGCTGCTGCTTTTGCTGCTGTTGCTGCTGCTGGTGCTGCTGCTCGCTGAGGTACGCCTCCTGATGGAGGGCTCTGCTGCAGCACTTGTATTGTCTATAAAGACTTTAATTAATTGAAAGAAAATATAAAAGAACAAAGAAAGCCGCGAAATATGCACTGGCTAAGCCAGCACCCCCAGGGCGCCGCTGCTCGCTCGAGAGCCCTCTTGTTTTGCTGCTGCAGTTCGTTTAAAAGAATTTAAATACCCTCCTCAATTAAAAAGTAATATTAATAGTATATATTTTTAAATAATCAGCAGAAGCTCAACACAACATTTGAAGAAAAGCTTGAATCAGGGGCCCTAAGAGCCCCGGCTTCGGTGGCTGGGCTATGCTTTGCTTTTCTTAGGGTCTAGGGTTTAGGGTTTAGGGTTTAGGGTTTATTGTTTATTGTTTATTGTTTATTGTTTATAAGAAACCTTTTAAAAATAAAACAATATAACAATTAATAATGCGGGGCCTCTTAGATTTTTTCAGCGATCCCAAGGGAGAAGACTCACCAGTATAGCAGAGCCCTCTCTACTTTAATTTTTTGTTTTTGTTTGAATGTATACTTGTTAATGAGAGTTAGAAGAGTCTTTAAAGACATTTATATATACAGCTCGAGTGCCTGCAGCAACAGCACCCAGTTGCTGCTCTGCATACGTTATATATCTTTTAATAGATATTATACCTATTAATTCTCTTTCATCTCAGTGCATGCAGCCAATGGGGCTTTCTTCTCCTTGCCTAACAACTTGCTGCTGCTGCTGCTGCTGCACCAGCTGCAGCACCACCAGCAGCAGCAGCAGCAGCAGCAGCAGCAGCAGCAGCAGCAGCAAGGCCTGCTGCTGCAGCTGCTGCAGCTCAGGAGAGAATCTATCTCCGCTCTGCAGCAGCAGCAAACAGGGATATCTTAAGGATGTAGAGGAGGAGAGTTGTCTGTGGGGGCCCTTATATTAATTAATCTCTGGTGTACATACATAGCTTATGATAGCAGCTAAACGAGTTATTATTATAATAACATTTCAGCTACAGTAAGAAATCTGCTAATATACGCTTATTCTATATAATATATAAAAGAAAATAAATAAATAAATATATATATATATATATAACTGCAGCAGCAGCACAAGCAAATACCCTTTTAATATACTTCTCTATGTTCATAGAAAAGGCAGCCCCCAGACTTCTGATAAAAACTCATTTCTCTTCAATTTCACAATGCTTATAATAGATATATATATATATGTATAGATATATATGTATATATATATATATGCATATATATATATATTTATATTTATATGAGGGTAAATATAAAAATAAATATAATAGTATTCTAAGATGTTTACGCGGTCTTCACTATGCATCGACCAAAGCCTCAACCCTCTCCTATGTTCGTATCAAACCGTTACAAATCTATATATATATATATATGCATATATATATATATGCCTTGTGAGATTAAAGGTTAAAGGCCTTTAAACTGATGAAGTGATATAGACTTTCATTAGCTCTCTCTTTCAGAGAGAGAGACAGAGACAGAGAGAGAGACAGAGAGAGAGAGAGAGACAGAGAGAGAGAGAGAAGAAAGCAAAGAGAGGGTTCAGCAGCAAGACAGCAGGGGGTATATATATATATATGTATATATATATATATTATATATATATGCTGCGGTGTATCTGCACCTCTAGAGGCAATAGCCTTCATATATAGATGTCTAATAAAAAGAAATAATAAACAAGAGAAGCAAAATTATAAAAAAATTAAAGAAATAAACCCTCTAACCCAACATCTCTAATGTGAAGAGTGAAGGAGACAGTAGCTGCACTTGTAGGGCCTCCTCAAGCTGTCTCTCTGTTTATTAATATCTTTATTGCTTTATATTTATTATCTGTTTGAAGATCTGCTTTACAGTAGATATGAAAGAGATATAATATCTGAGTGTACAGCCAGCAGCTGCACCCTCGGAGTTTATTTGCTGTTGCTGTCTCAAAGGCTACGAAGATAAAAGAAAGATGAAGCAGCAAGAGCTGCAGCAGCAACAAGGGCTGCAGCAGCAGCAACCCCACAGCAATGAAGCAGCAGCATATGAAGCACCTTGCTGTCTATTTTCTTAAAAAGTAAAGAAAATAAGAGTGTGTGCTGCTTAAGCAAAGAGGCAGACACCCCTTGAGTGTATGGTGCAGCTTGCTGCTGCTGCATGCAGCAGCAGCAAGCTACAGTACTTCATTAAGGTGTGCTGCTGTGCAGCAGAATCTGCAGCAAGCTGCTTTGTAACACAAGAAATAAAAACTTATCTCAGCTCTTCTTCTCGCTAACTGCTGCTGTCTTCATCAAGATGTCTAAGGGCTTTAAACGGGGTTAGAGATGCAGCTAGAAGCTCTCTATTGTCTATTCTTCTAAACCCTAAACCCTAAACCCTAAACCCTAAACCCTCTGTTAAGATTGAGAAGCCCCTCTATTAAATGCTTTCTTATCTTGCTGCTGAGGGGCTGGCTAGCTCAACATCGCTGCCAGCAATATGCAGCAGCAATAAGTGGGTTTAAGATATGCTTTAATTATAAAACTTATATTAGGGTTTAGGTTTGCTTTTCTTCAGCGCCTTGTCTTAGGCGCTGAAGAAAAGCAAAGAAAAACACTCAACTCGACAAATAATATAAAAAAGAGCATTAATTTGAGGTACTATAATATTATTCATAACAATTAAACCCTAAACCCTAAACCCTAAACCCTAAACCCTAAACCCTAGCTGTATGTATGGCTTGGGACTGTAGTTTTTAGGGAGTGACCGCTCAGCCCCGAGTTGCGTTTTAGTAGGCCTATGAATAAAACCCTAAATAACTGAAACCCTAAACCCTAAACCCTAAACCCTAAACCCTAGACACTGAATTGATGTTCTAGGGCGTGAGTAGTTTGGGTTGTTGAGGTGCGTTATGTTGTTGTTGTCTTGCAATTTTTTAGGTGTTTTTCTTTAAAAAACAAATAAATTATTTGTTTTTATTTTTTATTTTTCTGTCTTTTCTTCTTTTTCTGCTCGATTACCCCCTTCATTTCTTTTTTAGGGTTTTGAAGCAAAACTCATCTTCATCTTTGCTGCGCCTCAGACCCTCTCTTTTACTTCTTTGTCTCCTATCTATATCTCTCACACATAGCATTTAACTCTTTATAATCAACAACATACTTGAACACGGGCAGCAGCAGCAGCAGCAGCAGCAGCAGCAGCAGGGAAGCAGCAGCAGCGGCTGCTGCTAAAGCAGCCAAGCGGCAGCCACAGCATTACCAGTGCTGCTGTGGCTGCTGCTGCTGCTGCGTAACAGCAACCACAGCGGCAGCAGCAGCAGCTGCTGCGAGCCGCTCTTCACTTTAGCAGCAACAGCACCATCACCAGAAGCAGCAGCAGCAGCAGCAGCAGCAGCAGCAGCAGCAAAATGGCGCATTCAGAATCCTCATTTTTTGAGGTAAGCCGATCAGCAGAGGAGGGGCGTCTAGGGGTTGTTGAGGGGTCTTCTCATAGAAGATCTTTGAATGCAGCAGCAGCAGCAGCAACAGCAGCAACAGCAGCAGCATCATCAGCAGCAGCAACAGCAGCAGCAACAGCAGCAACAGCAGCAGCAGCAGCAGCAAGTCGCTGGGGTCTGCACAGGTGTATATGCGGTAGAAGAAGAGTAGGAAGGATGAAAGTTTTGTTCATCACTTCAAAAGGCTCTCTGATGCTGCTGGGGCCTCATTGGCCGTTTGCTGTCGTTATGCTGTTTTTAAAAATCGTAAGCACTGCAGCACCTGCTGCTGCTGCTGCTGCTGCAGCAGCAGCAGCAGCACATCTTGCTACTGAGGCTACTGCTGCTGCTGCTGCTGCTGTTGCTGCTGCTGCTGCTGCTGCTGCAGCACATCTTGCTACTGAGGCTACTGCTGCAGCACATCTTGCTACTGAGGCTACTGCTGCTGCTGCTGCTGCTGCTGCTGCTGTTGCTACTGCTGCTGTTGCTGCTGTTCGTGTAGCTGGACCCCTGCTGCGCTTTTGGCCCTGTGATGCTTCGGCTGAGTGCTGTATGCAGCAGCAGCAGCAGCAGCAGGATTTGGTGGTGGAGCTGCTGCTGCTGCTGCTGCTGCATTTTGCCTTCAGCAGCTCAGGGGGCTTCGGCTGCTGCCAGTGCTTCTGCTTTGTTTCATTCTCGCTGTTCTGTGCCTTGTAGCGGTGCTGCTGCTGCTGCTGCTGCCTTCCCGATCGCTGTTGCTGCTTGTGCTGCTGCTGTTGCTGCTGCTTCTGCTTCTGAGGCTGATTCTGCTGCCTCAGCTGCGTCTCCTGCAGCAGCAGCAGTTCCTGCTGGCGCTGCTGCTGCTGATGGCGATTTTGCTGCTACTTTTGGCTCACATGCTGCTACAGTGCTGCTGCTGCTGCATTGCTGTGGCTGCAGCTTCTGCTTCGAGTGACTGCTGCTGCTGCTGCTGCTGATGCTGCTGCGGTTACTGTTGCAGTTTGTTTTGCTGCTGCTGCTGCTGCTGCGGTGTGTGCTGCAGGGTTTGCTGCTGCTGTTTAGTTTTGTGTTTGGGCCTCAGATGAAAGGCAGCCCTTGGGCGCAAGAGATCGGTTTGCTGCTGTGCTGCTGCTGCTTCATATTTTTTCTTCTTACTGTTCTGTTTGACCCGGGGCTTCACCCTCAGCTGACGCAGCATCTTGTTGTTCGCTGCAACAGCCGATTGCCTCTGCCTCTGGCAACATCTGCTGCTGCTGCTGCTGCAGCAGCAGCTCCCGCTGCTCCTGCTGCTGAACCTGATCCGCAGCGAGAAGCTGCTGCTGCTGCTGCTGCTGCAGTAGCAGCAGCAGAACAAGATCCCCCAGCAGCAGCACCAAAAGAGACGGAGTTGCAGCACCTTCGCACCAACGCTGCAGCCACTGCCAACGAGCAGAAGCAGCAGCAGCAGCTGGAGGTGCCGCAGCAACAGCAGCAGCAACAGCAGCAGCAGCAGCAACAACAACAGCAGCAGCAGCAGCAACTGCTGCAGGATATGGAAGTGAAAAGAGATCCTCTTGAGGCAGCCATTTCGTCAGAAGACGATGTGCAGGAGGCTCCAGCAGAGCCTTCTCATTCAGCAGCAGCAGCAGCAGAAGCAGCAGCAGCAGCAGCAGGAGAGAATGTGTCTGAGTATGGTTGCATAAAGGAAGATCGTGAAGCTAGAGGCGCAGCAGGAGTGGATTTGCTGCTGCAGCAGGAGCAGCAGCACTTGGCTGACCCAGTTCTAAGTGTAGACAGCTGGGAGACGGAGAGTGAACGAACGGTGGGCAGCAGCAGCAGCAGCAGCAACAGCAGCAGCAGCTGCAGCAGCGATGGCGACAGCGAGTCACCTGGAGGCCGCCGTTCACGAAAGCAGCAGCTGCGTGCATTGCGTCTGCAGCGTCTTCAGCGTCGACAGCAGCAGCAGCAGCAGCAGCAGCAGCAGCAAGGGGGGCAGACTGAGGATTCTGATTCTGAAGAAGAGCTAGAGCTGTGTGGGGTGTGCGGTGTATGGGCAGCTGCGCAGTACGTACACTGCGAAGACTGCGGTGTATGCATTGCAGGCTTAGATCATCACTGCCCCTGGACTTCGAAGTGTATAGGCACAGGAAATATTATTTTCTTTTATTGCTGGGTAGCATCTGCTTTTGCTGTTATTCTTTTTTATGCTGTCGTCGGCACTGTGCTCAGCTCTACTCAAACCCCATCGCGCACACACTGGTCAGATGCTCCTCCTGCTGCTGTTGCTGCTGTTGCTGTTGCTGCTGTTGCTGCTGCTGCTGATCATCATGATAGTGCTGCTGCTGCTGCTGCTGCTGATCGTGATGATGGTGCTGCTGCTGCTGATCGTGATGATAGTGCTGCTGGTGCTGCACCTGCTGCTGCTGCTGATCGTGATGGTGCTGTAGCTGTTGCTGCTGATCATGATGATGTGGTGATGATGATGCTGCTACTGCTCTTACTACGTGGATGCTGCGGTGGAGGAGGATGCGAATGTGGCTGGGTGTGCTGCTGGTGGTGTGCTGATGCTGTTGGGATTGCTGCACTGCATGCTGTTGCTGCTGCGGCTGCTATTTCTGCTGTTGCATTGCCTGCTGCTACTTCTGCTGCAGAGGCAGCAGAAGCAGCAACAACAGCAGCGCCTGCGGTTGCTGTTCCGTTTGCTGCTAATGTTGCTGCTTCTGTTGCTGCTTCTGTTGCTGCTGCTGCTGCAGGAAAAATGGCTGAGAGAAAATTCAACTAAGCCCGTGGGGCGCCTCTGCTGCAGCTGCAGCAGCAGCGGCAGCTGCAGCAGCAGCTGCAGCAGCAGCTGCAGCAGCAGCGGTAGCTGCAGCAGAGCAGTATTAGTAATAGTATTTGGGAGGTGTTGAGACATTTATAGGCCGCTGGTAGCTGCTGCTGCTGGCATTGTAGCAGCAGCAGCGGCTGCTGCTGCTGCTGCTGCTATAATGCCTGTAGCAGTGCGCAGCTAAGTATGATAGAGAGCCGGTTACTCTGGGTGTTCTTGTCACAGCGTTAGCAGCAGCAGCAGCAACAGCAGCAAGAGCAGCAGCAGGAACAGCAACTAGTAGGTAGGAGCAGTCGCTTCGTGGAGTGCCTGCTGCACCTCTCTCTGATGCGGCAGCAGCTGCAGCAGCAACAGCTGCAGCAGCAGCAGCTGCAGCAGCAACAACTGCAGCAACAGCAGAATGTTTTTATCTCTCAGTTATGCAGTCTCTCGTTTGGGGCAGCGCTTTTGTCGTGAATGCTGCTGCTGCAGTAGCCGCACCACCAGCAACAACAGCAGCAGCAGCAACAGCAGCAGCAACAGCAGCAGCAGCAGCAGCAGCAGCAACAGCAGCAGCAGCAGCAACAGCAGCAGCAGCAGCAGTAAGAAAATAGACAGACAAAAACGAGCGGCCCAGAGGGGTGCTGAGAACAAACTGCAGCAAACTGAGGTTAAAGCAAAAGAAAGACAAAAGGAGACAGAGACATAAACAAGATAATAAAGAAAATAAAAATAATAAAAATAAATAAAGATAAATAATAAAGATAATTAATAAATATAATTAATAAAGATAAAATATATATAAATATAAATAGAGATGCAGATATATAAATAAATAATATATATAAATATAAATAGAGACAGATATATAAATAAAAAATATATAAATATAAATAGAGACAGAGACAGAAATATAAATTTACATAGAGACAGAAATAGAGATATATAAATACAGATATAAATATAAATATAAATATATATATATATATATATGTACATAGAGAAAGAGAGAGAGACATAAATATAAATAGAGATGTAGATATAAATAAAAGAGATATAAATATAAACAGAGACAGAAATAAACATAGAGGTAGAAATATATACAGAGACATAAATATAAATAGAGACAGAAATATATATATATATATGTATATATATGTATATATGTATATATATATATATATGTATATATGTATATGTATATATATATACATATATATATAGAGAGAGAGACAAAAATATAGATACAGAAATAAACAGAGAGACAGAAATAAACAGAGAGACAGAGACAGCAGCAGATAGAGACAGAGACAAACGAAAAACAAACAAAGACAGCAAACTAAACAAAGACACAAAACTAAACTAATTATAACAAACGATGTTTGGGGTCTGAGGCCTTCAACAGAGACATCGCAGAAGCAGCAAAAGAGAGACAGAAAGAGAGGAGGTTAATTATAAATAAATATGTTAATGCAGAGACAGCTGGAGACAGCTCAAATACAATTAAAAAAAAAGACAAAGAAATAAACAAAGTACGAGTAGAAAACACACACGCTGGGGGCCCAGTACCCCCACTAAAGCCTGCTGCTGCTGCTGCTGCTGCTGCTGCTGCTGCTGCAGAAGCTGCTGCTGCTGCTGCTGCTGCTGCTGCTGCTGCTGCTGCTGCTGCTGCTGCTGCAGAAGCTGCTGCTGCTGCTGCGGCAGCTGCTGCAGGCGCTGCTGTTGCAGCTATTGCTGAAGGAGCTGCTGCTGCTGCACGTGCTGCTGTTGCAGCTGCTGCAGGTGCTCCTGCCTTCTTCATTTGTCTCTTCTTATGAGACAGACAAAACTTTCGTCTCTCTCAAGTCTATCTAGCTATCGAGGCAGCCAGCAGCACAACACCTGGCCGCCGTCTTTACTTAGGTGAGCAGCTGCTGTTGCT